GTGTAGAAGGGAGGCCTGCCCGCCCGATCCCAGGGGTCCGTGTCGCCCGCGCCGCCGTTCGCCCGCGGCGCCTCTTCCCGGCCCCGGCTTCGGCTTCGGCCGCCCGGTCCGCCCTCGCCCTCTTGGCCCAGCCGGTGGCCGCACCCCTCTTCTTCTTTTGGTTCGCCCGCTGTGGGGGGGGCCGCTTCCGCCGCCCCTTCCGCCGCCTCCCCTTCGGCCTCCCTTTCCGCCTCCCTTTCGGCCCCCCCTTCCGCCCCCCCTTCCGCCCCCCCCTCCGCCCCCCCCTCCGCCCCCCCCTCCGCCCCCCCCTCCGCCACCCTCGCCGCCCCCCCCTCCGCCCCCCCCTCCGCCACCCTCGCCGGCGGCACAAACTCGGAGAAGCGGCTGTACGACTTTCGGTACGAGCCTACGTGTACCGCACCTCCAGAGTCTCGAATCCAGTGTGGGTTCAGCTCCTTGGGTGGTGCGGTAGCAGAGAAGGGAGGTGCGGGGCCTACGCGGCGAAGGCACTAGCCTCGGGGGCAGGAAGACGGTGCTGTGCCGTGTCTAGAGGATATATATAGTGTCTAGAGGACCGCGTGAATGCGAGGGGGCACGGATGCAGTTGAGTGCGCCTCCCCTCGAGAGCCGTGGGTTGGGAAGACAAGAGAGCACGTCTTCCGCTTCTAGGGCGCGAGGTATGGTGGAGATGCGGGGAGATATGGGGAGATCTTCCGCGTCCAGGGCGGCGAGATACGGGGAGATCTGTGGAGATACGGGGAGAGAGGGGGGAGATCTTCCGCTTCTAGGAGGTACGAGCCGCGCAGCGTGCGCGCGGCGCCGCCGAGCTGGGCGAGCCGCCACTGCGGGTTGGTGCGCCACTCAAGCGACGATCGGACCTGGGCCGCCGCGAGATTGCTCGAGATTGCTATCTCGCGCGCGAGATTGCCCGAGATGAGGCGTCCGCTCTCGGAGAGGGCGGCCGAGATGCAGAGAGAGAGAGGGGGAGGGGGAAGAGAGCGAGGTGTGTGCGTGCGTGTGAGGAGAGAGGTGATCGAGAGAGGCGCGAGTGGCCGTGGGAGGCGAGAGAGGGGCTGTGGTGGCGAGATCAGCCGAGATGCATGAGTTGGCCGTGGGAGGCGAGAGAGGGGCTGTGGTGGCGAGATCAGCCGAGATGCATGAGTTGGCCGTGGGAGGCGAGAGAGGGGCTGTGGTGGCGAGATCAGCCGAGATGCATGAGTTGGCCGTGGGAGGCGAGAGAGGGGCTGTGGTGGCGAGATCAGCCGAGATGCATGAGTTGGCTGTGGGAGGCGAGAGAGGGGCTGTGGTGGCGAGATCAGCCGAGATGCATGAGTTGGCCGTGGGAGGCGAGAGAGGGGCTGTGGTGGCGAGATCAGCCGAGATGCATGAGTTGGCCGTGGGAGGCGAGAGAGGGGCTGTGGTGGCGAGATCAGCCGAGATGCATGAGTTGGCCGTGGGAGGCGAGAGAGGGGCTGTGGTGGCGAGATCAGCCGAGATGCATGAGTTGGCTGTGGGAGGCGAGAGAGGGGCTGTGGTGGCGAGATCAGCCGAGATGCATGAGTTGGCCGTGGGAGGCGAGAGAGGGGCTGTGGTGGCGAGATCAGCCGAGATGCATGAGTTGGCTGTGGGAGGCGAGAGAGGGGCTGTGGTGGCGAGATCAGCCGAGATGCATGAGTTGGCCGTGGGAGGCGAGAGAGGGGCTGTGGTGGCGAGATCAGCCGAGATGCATGAGTTGGCTGTGGGAGGCGAGAGAGGGGCTGTGGTGGCGAGATCAGCCGAGATGCAAGAGAGACTGAGAGGGCCTGCCGCCACCGCAACACCGCTCAGCTCGTGTAGGAAGGAAGGAAGGAAGGAAGGAAGGAATGAATGAGAACGAATGAAAACTAAAGTACGCGGACCTGTCGCCACTGCGTCTCGCTCAGCTCGTACCGCGACCGCTCCTCGTCCGCGAGCGGCTCGAGCAGCTCGCCCAGGGTTCGGTACTGTGGAGGTATGGTACCAGGCGGGGTGCCATGGTACCCTACCCCCACAGTACCCGAACCCAAAGCTCGGTGCGCCGCGCCGCGCGCCGCGGGCAGCGACGGCCACCGAAACGCGGCGGCGGCGGCGGCGTCGCGGAAGGCGGCGAGGTAGAGGCGCTCGCGGTGCTGCGGCACGAGCGCGGCGGCGTTGGCGAGCTGAAGGCGGCAGTGGTACCTAGAAAAAGAAAAAAACGTGGCGCCGGCCCTAGAAAAGGAACGCGTGTTTTTCTTTTTCAGGCGGCAGTGATACCCGGCGCGGGTGAGCGCGTGGACGATGATGTGCAGTGCGTGGCCGTTGTCGACGCGGAGAAGGTTCGGCACATTCTCAAGCAGCAGCGCCGCCGGCCTGCATCCACAGACACGGGCTCCGCCCCTCAGCCTCCCTCCTCTCTCCTCCCACCGGCCTCCAACAAGACAATCTCTCTCCGGACTCCCTCGAAGGAGCTCGAGGAGGGCCTTGTGTGTGTGCGGAGGTCCGGAGTCCTCGTCTAGGATTGACCCCCCTGCCTGACGGTGTGGTGTTGGTGCCGCTCTGACTAGTCGATCTCCACGGCGAGCTACAGCGAGCTCCAATGAGAGTCCCGAGAAGGTGCGCCGTGAAGGTTCCGTACGTGTCTGAAGGTTCACTGTGCTGTCGTGCGATTTCGGCCCCCCGAGGCGGTGCTCTTTGTGTGAAGCTTCCGTGAAGGTGTCCCGAGAAGGTTCCGTGAAAGTTCGCCTAGCGCCGCCGGCCTGCAGCGCGACGCGACGCGCACAATCTCGAAGAAGAGGTCGCCGCGCGCATCGCCCAGCCCGCGCTGCTCGCCGCTCCGCGAGAAGGACTGGCACGGGAAGCCCGCCGTCAGCAAGTCGTGCGCAGGCAGGTCCTCGTCCGGGACCTCCGTGATGTCGCCCAGAGGCGCGTCGCCAAAGTTCCGCTCGTACGTCGCGGCGGCGCACGGGTCGATCTCGGACGCAAAGACACAGCGGCCGCCGAGGCCGTCGAGCGCCAGTCGGAAGCCTCCCACGCCGGCGAAGAGCTCGGCGTAGCGGAAGCGCGGCGGCGGAGCCGGCGATGCGGCGGCGGCGGCCGCCGCCGCTGGCGAAGGCGCGGCGGCGGCTGAGACGTGCCGGTGACCAGTGGCCCAGCGCACCGCGCCGTCGCGAAGGAGGGCGGCAAGCGGAGCCGGGACCAACGACTCGGCATCCGAGCCAAACGCGTCGAGCGCCCGTGCGCCCTCCGGCGCGACGGCAACGGCGAGGTGCTCGCAGTCGTACTCGTGCACCTTTGTCCGCTTCTTGCGCCACTGCCGTTCGTCCAGCGCCTTGATCACGGTCTGGAGGTGGCGCTTTGGCGCGACGACAGCACCAACAGCGACACCGGAGGCTGCTCCAGGCATGGAGCAAGGCGACAGGGCGAGGGCCGTAGCCCAGAAACAAGAAAAACGGCTGCGTCCAGAAACAAGAAAAACGACTTGCGTTAAGGGGAAACCTGGTACGCGGGGCTAACCCTCGGAGAGTATTCTTTAGCTCCGAGTAGAGGGGGCGTTCCGCAGCTAGGGGGGACCCACAGCGCGAGGGAAAAATTCCGCCGCTGGGGGAAACCCGGAGCGCAGAACTAACCCTCGGAGACCCGTGTTATGGCCCTGCGACCGCGCACCCCCGGGGCTAGGGCTCTCTTGCCCGCAACCCGATCCCGATCATCCGGCCCGCTGGGTGCGCTTCTTAGCTCCCCGGCCCTGGATGTGAGGCTGATAACTGCACTCCAAGTGCTCCAAGTGCGTACCCAGAAACAAGAAAAATGACGCCCATCCTTGCGTCGAAATCTGGCGCTTTGCGCGTAGTCGCGCCTTAGCAGTCCAAAGACGCGCGCGTCTTTGCCTTGTCGTGGCCGTCCATCTCGATGCAGAACGACGCGCCGCGTCTTTGCCTTGTCGCGGCCGTCTATCTCGATGCAAAACACACACGCGGTGCGCATTCAGAGAGAGAGAGATTTTTAGCAATACCTCACAGGTGGGGGACCGGATCCTGCTGACCAAGCTCCTCTTGTAGCTCGATCGGTCACACCGCCATCGCCGTCGGGGAGAGGGGGGACGACACTGCTTCGGCAGCGTGCACCTCGATCCTGTACCGTGTTTGTTATGACCCCCCCCCGATGAACACACCAGTGAGGGAGGGCGAGACGATCGAGGGGTCCCGTACCATGCGGAATCGACCCTATCCAGTGCTCAAGTGCTCAAGGTGGGGGACAGAACGCCGGCCGCACCCGGCGTGCTAGCAATCTCCGCGATAATTCGGACCAGCCTTGATGAGAGATACTTCGTGCGTCCGCGTCGGGCTGGCGGACACATATGCCCTCCTCCCCCCAGCCTCGGCGGCGGGCCCGCACGGCGGGGGAAAATGCGACCGCCGCCATGCAGCCCGCCGTGCACCGCGCCCACAGCGCACCAGCGCCTCGCAGCGCTGGCCGGCTGATTCAGGTCACCACCACTGCGAGCGAGGAGGACGCCGCGGGCGCGCCAAAACTCAGCTTCCTGCCGCGCGTGAGCATTCGGCTGGGCCTGCGCGCGGGCGGCACTGACGCTTCAGTGAATGGTGACGCGGCGCGCCGCTCCGTCAGCCTGGTTGTGAAGCGCAGGCCGCGGCCGGGCAAGGTGGTGACCCACACCGTCTCAGTCGACTACCGGGTGGTGCTGTTTGTGGCCCTCCTCGCACTCATCACCACCGTAACGAGCCTTCCCGTCTCCGATGGCAGCATGCACGATACTACTGATGCTGCCGATGCTGCCCATGGTCGCAGGCTCAGTTCTGCAGCACCATGCACCACCATGAACATCGAACTGCGGGGCACGAATAAGGACGGCGTCGGGTACAAGGAATCGATCTGCGGCGTTGGTAAATCTTGCGGCGTTGATGAGCACGGTGTCAAAATGCAAGTTGACCACCGAGTTGAATGCGCAGTAATTCAGTGGGTGCTTGGCATGATGGTCGAAGCTGGCACGGCGGGTTGTCCTACCACCAATGCAATGGAGAGCTTCAAAACGTTCGTCGTCAATGCAAAGACGAATCTCCAGCGTGTGCCACAAGCGTCCAGTGCCCAAGGGGGCGGAAACGGGAACTGGGGCTCGCGGATGACAGGTATTCGCAAGCTCAACTCCGAGTTGCTATCCCAACGTCCAGCGGGGTACTACTCCACACTTTTGATCAAACAGGGGGAGGCAGCGGTGGAGCTGTTGGAGGCCGATTCTTGCGCAAATGCTCCGCCTTGGTGTCGCGAACTCCTCGAAAATGTGGGAGGCGTGGTTGGAAAGCAAATGGCATACATATGCAACGGCATCTCAGGCGTCGCGGACTGCGATAAGTTCCGCAAAATGTCAAAACTGCAGGCCCTGGTCGAGAAGCTTGATCAGACCTTCGATCCGACCGCCAAACTGATCAAGGATGGAATTAGAAACGCAGGGCAGGTGGCACAGGACATTTACGCGGGGAACGCGGAGGGGAGGGCGGCGGACGCCTCCCAGGCGGCGAAGGACGCGGTGAAGCAGGCGAAGAAAGAGGCGGCGGCGGCGGAGAAGGCGGCGATAGAGGCGGCGGAGAAGGCGACGAAAGAGAAGGCGGAGATGGCGATGAAAAAGGCGGCAGGCCAGGCAGCGAAGGCGGAGGAGAAGGCGGCTGCAGAGGCGGCAGCGGCGGCGGCTAAGGGAACACTGATGAATGTTGCTAAGGGCGCGGGAACCCTAGGCCTCGGGATCGTAGTCGACCAAGTTGTGGCTCCGGCCATAGCTCCAACCACCGAGCAGATGGGAGAAGGCGCTAGCGATGCGGTCAAGACGGCCGCATCCCATTTTGGCGTTGACGAGCACAAGGCCGAGGTTGCCGGTGATATAGCTTCCGAGACAGTTTCCGGGGGTACAAGCATGGCGCTGAGCGAAACGATCGCTGCCTTCATTATCTACCTGCTGACCGGCTTCTTCACTGGGGTCTTTGCACTCAGCATCTCCGCAGTTTTATACTGGGCCATGTGCCTCCTCATTACCGCCTTCGGCACCGCATGTGTTCTTGCGGTGGGCGGCGCAATAGCGACATGCGTTTCAGGAGATGATGTTTCAGGAGATGCGTTTCAGGAGATGATGTAAGGAGCGCCTGAAACGCATGCGCTCAGCGCCAGGCGACTGCGATTGATGTCACATCATGTACACTCAGCGAGAGAAGGAGATCCACGAGTGCACAGAGTGGAGCTGCGGTGGTGTGTACAGGATTCACTCCCATCGAGCATGTGTTTTGTGTGTGAGAGAAATCGCGAGAGGGAGTTCAGGGGTGGCCGAAGGTTTGCTGCGGTGGTGGGAGGGAGGCGGTGGTGGTGGGGTGGTTTTGAACAGCAAAACGGGACAGTATTTGGGCGATGAGGGGCGATGAAAGCGATTCACAATGCGGTGAGCGGGCGGGAAGGGCTCAGGCTGGAGATGAGTCAGAGTGGGGCCGCCGGCGGAGCGCCGGTTCTCGCGCCTATACCGGCTCGTAGTCGTGTGGAGCTCTGACTTGCTCAGTGTGGTGGCGTGTTGTACTAGTAAAGCTGCACCGCATGTTCGCCCGTCTAGGACCTCTTCGTACGACTCCGAAAACCGCTCCTCTTAATGACGATTACGCGGCCCGGCGCCCCGAGCAGAGAGGGCTGGATTCGGGTCAAGGGCTTGTGGTAGCGACTAGCGTTGCCGTTGTGCCGCGTGCGTGTGACTCGCTCACGCCATGCTGCGTGGCGCTCTCGATACGGGTGTGGCGCGTCATCGGTAGCGTCTTCATTGCTCCATCGTGGGCTCGGTACGCTGACGTAGCATAAATGATAAAAAGCCGTAGGGGAGCGGAGAGAGCAGTAAGTGGAAGACGAATTACCCGCCCTCGCAACAACCCCAAACACTTGCCACACGTTTTCAGTGCACCTCTCCACATTCATTCAGCACCGACAGCTGCTCAAGCTGCGGGTGTGCGCGATGTCGACAGCGGCGCAGGCCACCTTACCATGCGCTACAGGCTACGCCTACGGCTCTACAGTAAGCTGTCACAGTAAGTGCCCCGCCACAGCCGGCGCAAGCGACCGCCGGGAGCAGCGAGCTCCGCCCTACTCCCCTCGATGGGGTAGCCTCCGCCCACTGAGTCGCGGCTGAAATCATGGCCCTCATCGATGAGAGCAAATCCCGCAGCCACCTCCGTCTGTTGTAAAGGTGAATCCCACCATGGCTGCTGCTGTCCGCTGTTGTCGTCAGCCATAGAGCCGCTCCGCAGCCGCCTCCGCCTCGCGCAGCTGCGCCGCGGCCGGCTCGTCGAGGCACCAGTGCGTCCGCCTAGGAAAGGTCCAGGAAAGGTCTAGGAAAAGTCTAGGAAAGGTCGTCGAGGCACCAGTCCGTCCGCCCGGCCGCAAGGACGAGCCCTCTAGGAAACGTCTAGGAAATGTCTAGGAAATGTCTAGGAAATGTCTAGGAAACGTCTAGGCAATGTCTCGGAAAGGTCTAGGAAAGTCCGCCCGGCCGCAAGGACGAGCCCGGCCGGCACCGGCTCGTCGGGCTGCGCGGCAAAGGCGGCGCGCACGGCACTCGCCTTGCTCCCGCCCGTGACCACGAAGAGGGCGAGCCGCGCGGCGTTGATGGCGGGCAGAGTGAGCGTCACGCGACAGGCCGGCGGCTTTGGCGAGTCGTCCACGTACGTGACCGCGCGCCCCGTCTCGCAGAGCACCGCATGCGCCGGGAAGAGGGAGGCGGTGTGGCCGTCAGGGCCCATCCCCAGCAGCACCTGTTCACAGCTAGAGGCGTGAAGAGACGCTGTTCACGGTGTGGCCGTCGGGGCCCATCTCCAGCAACACCTGTTCACAGCTAGAGGCGTGAAGAGACGCTGTTCACGGTGTGGCCGTCGGGGCCCATCACCAGCAGCACCGCGTCCAACCGCAGCGGCGGGGCCGACTCGGCCTGGGAAGCCGCCGCCGCCGCGCCTCCGCCCGCCGCCGCCGCCGCCTCACGGAGCGCCGCGAGAAGCTTCTCTTCGTACAGCTCTGCCGCCTGCGGCAGAGGCAGGGCGGCGGCAACACCGACCGCTTGCACGCTGCCCATCCCCGCCGGCTCGAGAAAGCGGCGGCGCCACTCCCCGAGGCTGGAGTCTGGGTGCGACTCGGCCACATGCCGCTCGTCCGCGAGGAAGACGCGCCAGCGCGAGAGCTGGTCGCGTGGGGCGGCGGCGAGGAGCTCGGGCGCCAGCAGCGCCGGGATCGAGCCTCCGGAGACGGCGACGACGAACACGCCTCGCTCCGCGATCGCAGCGGCCGCAGCCTAGGGTGAGGGTATGGGTGGGGGTGAGGGTGAGGTTGAGGTTGAGGGTGAGGGTGAGGGTTAGGGGTTAGGGTTAGGGTTAGGGGTTAGGGGTGAGGGTGAGGGTGAGGGTGAGGGTGAGGGTTCCTCAAGCAGCAACGCCACGGCGCGAGTGGCGAGGCCATCCGGCGACGCAAAGACCTCGCGCGTCCTCGCGCCGCGGGCTGTGCCGTCGCCAGCCCCGCCGGCCACGCCCGCAGCCGGGCTCGACGACACGGGTGCTGGCGCCTGCAGGGAAGGCTCCGAGACAGTTCCGAGAAGGTTCCGAGAAGGTTCCGAGAAGGTGCTGACGGGTGCTGACGCCGGAGCCGGTGCGGCGGGAGCGGCGGGGACGGCTTGCGACGGTGCGGCGTCGAGCGCCAGAGAGGACAGCCTCTCGAGGCCCGCCGCCCCGCTTGCGCTCGTCGTCGACGGCGCAGCCACGCGAGCCGTGAGCGCCGCCACCGCCTCGCGCTCCGCAAAGAGGCGGAGCTGCGGGTCGTCGCGCAGGTTGAGCGAGACGAAGATGGGCCGCCCGACCTTGCTGGACAGCCGCTGCGCAAGCCGCTGCGAGCCAGCGTCGCCCTCGTGGCCGCCGAGCAAGGTCGTTGCCGACGGCGTCGCCGCCCGGCCTCGCGCGCCCGCGCTGGCGGGCACACCCACGGCGAGGGAGTCGAGGCGGTGATCACCGGAGCCGATCCATAAGTACGCGCCGCCCTCAAGCCAGAGGAGCTGGAAGAAGACCTTCTCCTCGATCAGGGTCGAGCACCAGGACTCCATCGCACCGCGTCGACCAAGAAAAACAAAATTCCTTGAAACAAAATTTCTATTACTCTCGTGAGGCTGTGAAAGCACGCCCAACCTAGCGGATTTGGGCTCTCAGGGGATTGATGCCCCGAATGGGGCGGCTCAAGGCGATTTGAGATGCGGGCGCCGCCGCCTCCCGGCGGCCAGCCTGACGCCCTCGGGCGCCGCGCCTCGGGATCTGGGTCTAGTCCGAGGTGGCACGCTCGGCGAATCGGGCGCGGAGGCGACACGCGCGCCCGCTCGGCGCCGAGGTGACCTGGCGCTCGACGCCCTCGTTCAAGCGTCATATCGGGCACATCACTGCCTCACGCGCTCCCGCTGCCGCTGTTAGGCTACCTGAGCTAGAGCTCATGATAGTACGACCTCGCCGACAAGCTACACGCGCTGCTCCGCGCGCAGGTGCCGCGGCACGCCCTGCCACCGCCCGGCGTCGAGCGGCGTCGCTCGCGCTCTCCACACACACACAGCCGCGCGCGCGCTCTGTGTACTCCCGACGCACACACCCGCGCCCGCGCACACCACTCTCGCGCCCGCTACGCTTGTCCGCGAGCGGCGAGCGCTGCGCGCCGCGACGCGTCGGCAGCCGCGGCGCCGTGTGACGCAGCGCAGCCCGGCCGCGCACCACAGGTGCAGGTGCTCTCCCTCGTCGATCGCTCGCCGCGGCGGCAGCGACGCGCCCCGCGGCGGCCGCGCGGCAGCCGCGCTTACGAGAGCCGCGCACCGAGCGCGGCGCGGCGCGATGCGTCCCGCAGGCAGCGGCAGTACAGTATTGCCTGGGCGCGCGCCGCCCGGCTCGCCGCGCCGGCCGACCCCTCGCGCCGGCGCCGCGTTTTGGCCTCGACGTGTGGTGCATGCGAACGCCGACCCTAGCTGCGCGCTGCGTTCGCACTTTCTCTACCTTGACGCGAGCCACAACCCTGCCGGACTAGACCGACGGCCCGCCGGTGCCGATGCTCTCAGCGTTGTGAACGAACGGCGGCCACGCTGCTCATCGCCCCCGTCTCGGCCGGCGGCGGGTCGATGGATGCCTACTCGGGCTTGAACGATGGTGATCCACGTGTCGCGGAGGATAGATCTGCGCTCGGCGGTGGAGGCGGCGTGGCAGGCAACGGTTCGCCGCCACCGCCGCGCGGGAGGTGCTCGCGCCGCCCGCGAAGGCACTGGCCACCATTAGGTTCGCCGGCCGTGGCTTCGCCGCATGGCCGGGAGAGTGAGTCAGATCACATCTGTGTGCCGTGTCGAGAGAGGGGAGAGATGATTCAGAAGACGGCTGTGTGCAGAGCTCCTACGGCTTTACGCAGTAGCCACGGTGCGCGCTTACGGTACGAGTAAAGGCACATGTACGGCTCTAGAGAGCGGATGTGATGCAATCTCAATAATACATTGTTTTAAAGTTCGCTGTCTTCGTCACAGTCCATGGGCTCATGGTCATGCACTGCTGAAAACATGCTGCTGAGCCTACGGCTAGTTGCGTCAACGCTCAACCTCATCGAGGGCGGGAGCCGCAAGCGCAGCAAGTCGTCTCTCCTCGCGCGCAAGGGCTACCTGCTTCTCCCGCAGCAGGAGCCTGACGCTCTCCCTCTCTCGCTCAACCTGCTGCAGTTTGGTGCTGCAGTCGGCTTCTGCCGCGTAGAGAGCCTCAACCTCGCCGCGCAGCGCCGCAACCGACGAGGCAGGCGAGGCGAGCCAAGGCGACACGGCTGCAAGCGGCACCTGCGCGCTGCACAGGCTAGCCTGGTTGGCAGCCTCCTGGTCAGCGCGGAGGGTGGCCCTCCCGCGGTCTCCTGGTGCCTGCAGGCGAGCCGATTTATGAGCCAGCAGTAGGTAGAGCAGCACACAGCGCTGATGATAGCGGGTGAAGGGGTGGGGCAGGTGGGTCAGCTTGGCCGCCTCAGACGGGGTGCACGGCTTCCTCGCGTTTTGCAACTCGAGACACAAAGCCCCAGCCGCGGGGGTGAGGTCGAACGGCGCGGTCTGGGCCAGTGCCTGCGTTGCCCGAAGTGAGCGGCAGCAGCGATCGCACGACAGGCATGCGGGGCACGGCGCGGGTCCAATCATGCCCGCGTACAGTCGCGAGCGTCGGCAGCCAGGGAGGAGCAGTGCAGAGAGGACGTGCTGCACCGCGTCCAAGTTCTGCTGCACGTGATGTTCTTCGGTTGCAGCACCGCCGCTCACGCGGCACGCCAGGCCGAGGGTCTACGACGGGAGCGGCTCCCGGGACCGGGGCCGATGTCATCCGTTGGCAGTGCTTACAGTTCTCCGACGTCGGCACCGACGTTCTCTTCTACGCCAACCTGAGCATGCTAGAGAAGGACGTGTACGCCGGCAAGGTCTCATCCGTGGAGGAGGCGGAGGCTCTGCTCGTGCAGCTGGCAGAGCTGCGCCAAATCGGCTTCCTCGGCGGCGGGCTGCACTTCATCATGCACGTCGTGCAGATGATCCTCTCTGGCCACTGGGACTACGCGGGTCTCCGACAGTGGAAGGTGGCGATGGGCCGCACGGACTTTGACCCGACCAAGGAGGCGCAGCAGCTCCGCCGGAAGGTGGAGATGATCCGGGCGTGGGTGGCGGGCTGGTTCAAGGCGGCGATCCGCGAGTTCCACGACACGTGGTCCGACGACTCAGTCTTTGACTTCTCCCACGACTCGTCGGCCGCGTACTCGGAGCAGTCACGCCTCAAGTCCGAGGCGCACACCAAGGCGTTCCTCGTGTGGGTCGAGCAGGGCAAGGCCACGGGGGACACCGAGTTCCGCAAGCACGCCGTGTTCGTCCTCGACCTTGCGGTGCCGCTGCTGCTGTACTGGGAGGCGTCGCGGCACTGTGAGTATGAGACAATGGACGTGGTGGAAAAGTACTTTCTGCCTCACTTCGAGGTTTGCGGCAAGGACAAGTACCTGCAGACCGTCGGGTGGCTCAAGCTCAAGCCGGCGCAGCGCGACCCCCTCACCAACATGATCGTGGCGACGCACATCACCAACTCCATGAACGGCGTCTTTGGGAAGCTGATGCACGGCGATCACTTCCAGGAGATTCACGTCAACCAGCAGAACCAGGTGGTCACCCTTGAGCCGGCGCCGGACAAGTGGGCCGACGAGATGTGCGTGCGGAGCCTCAACCTCAACGTGGCGCAGGTGCTCACCAACCAGGTGGCGACGGGAAGCTGGTCGCAGCTCGCGCTCGGTGGCGGCGAGGGCGAGCACATCACCTCGTCGAGGAAGCTCGAGGTTGTCATCACCGCGCGCATGAATCGCCGACTCGGGATTGTGCGCGCCGACCCGCGGCGTGTCGACGTCTTTGTGGACCTGCTTGGCTCCGGTCTGGGGGCGCACGTCATCGAGGTGAAGGTCGCGCAGAGCATCACCAGCCTCCTCGACCAGCCCTTGGCTAGCTACATTGCGGCTGGCTGGCCGCTCGTCCTCCGACGCGGCGGCGACTGGCTGAAAGGCGCAGCCGGGGGAGCCCTCGCAGTCAGCGCCAAGCTCAAGGCCGGTGCATTCCTCATTGGCTGCACGCTCGACGCGGACCTCTCTCTGCGGCATGGAGGCGGCGGGGAGTGGCACGAGACGAAGCACCATGATGGAGTGGGACGTGGCTTCTTGGCCTGCGCGCCTGCAGAGCCGCAGCCAGGGACCGTCGACGCCACGGCGCTTCGCGCCACGCTAGGGCTCGCCGCAGACGGAAGCGGCACCGCCCCCCCGGCGATAGCTGCGCTGGCAACCACCGTGCTCGGCGCGCTCAGCCTGGACCTGTGGAAAGGCATGTGCGGCAAGACAGAGGTCCGCCTCCTCCAGGTCTCCTGGGCGCCGCTGCCGGCAGGGCAAGGGGGCGCAGCTGCGGCACAAGCGGCGGCTCAGGCTGTCCTTCCGGCGGGAGCTCTTCTCACAAAAGTCGACAGGCGAACGATCGACGAGCTCTGGACGCAGCGAGCCGGCGGGCAGACGGAGCAGCAGTTTGTTCAGGCGCAGACGAAAAAGGTGCAGTACGCTGTAGAGACACTAGGGGAAGCACGGCGCACTCACCCACGCCCCCACGCCCCCGCACTGCCCCCAGACGCACACCCATAAGTGCACCCGTCACTCGGAGGAGAGGAGACGGCATGCGAGCGACACGCCCCTGCAACGCGAGTCGCTCACATGCCGCCCAGCTGCCGTATCAGAGCCCTCCCGCCCCATCGCAGGTGCGCGGACGGCTTCGCACTGGCGCGGCGGGCTCGGTAGAGCGCGACCGACCCGTGCTACTGCGCAACGCGCTGGCGACGGCGGCCGCTGCCGCGCCGGACGTGCCGCTCCGGGCGCAACCGCCGTTGCTGCCGCCTCCCGGCGTCGCTCCGCAAGCGGCGGCGCGCGCAGGGCAGCGGCACGGGAAGCTGTTGCTCCCGCCACAGCCACAGTCCCTGTGGCTCTGGGTGTCGCAGGACGGGCTGCCGCCGTCGCCTGCCTCTGTGACGGGGTACCCGAAAAGCGGCGTCCCCAAAGGGCTCGCCCGCCTGAAGGAGGCGGCGGAGGCAGAAGCGCGCGCCGCCGCAGCCGCTGATGAGGCTGCTCGAGGGGCGCAACCGGCAGGGGGCGCGGCGGGCGGCGGTGGTGCAGGGGGTGCCCCCGCGGCAAGCGATCCCCGGCGAGCGAAGATGTGCGAGAAGTGCGGTGGCGCGAAAGGCCGCTGCCGCGACCCGGGCATGCCGGGGCACCTGCGGGAGGTCGAGGCACACTGTGAGACGTGCACACCGCGCGGGAAGCCTGGCAGGCCGTGCAGCAGGCGTGGCAGCTCCGCCAAGGGCGCGCGCCACTGGCCGTCGCGGAGTGCTCCAGACACGGGTGCGCCGCAACCGGCGGCGAACCCCGCCGGCTCGCCCGCACCGGCTCCGGACGCTGCTCCCGCGCCCGCGGGCACGCCCGCGGGCACGCCCGCGCCCGCGCCCGCACCGGACGGCGCGCCGGGCACGGCTGCTGTCTCGCCGGCGCCAGCGCCTGCAGTCAGCAAGCGAGCGCGCCTACTCAGACTCGCCGTGCAGAGAGTTCGGGCGAACCACGGCCGCGGCGCGACCGAAGGGCCAAAGGGCAAGCCCGGCCGCCCACCCAAGGTGGACTCGGGCATAAAAGCTCGAGCGGCGGTGCTGCAAGGGACGGTACCGCACGCCGGCGGACTAGCCAATGACATAGTCCTCGCACGCCTCGGCGATCGCCTGCAAGACGATCAGCCGGCTAAGCTGTTCGTGCGGTCGCTCGACGCGAAGAGCCTGGCCGACGCGGCGGCGGAGGTGGTTGCGCGGGGCGGCGGCGGCGGCCGGGCGGCGGGCGCGCGTGCGGCGGGAGCGGCGGCGGCGGCGGCGGCGGCGGCGGCGGGAGCGCCTGCTGCGCCAAGCGGCGCGGCGCTCTGGCCGTGGGCGTTGTCGCGAGAGGAGCACGCGGCGAAGAGGATTAAGCTGAACAAGCTGGAGGACGAGCTCGACCAAATCGCGTCTCGGAGGAAGGACGCCATCGACAAGCTCTTCGAGCTGCAGCACGGCCGAACCAGTCGGAGCAATCGCCGGGACGCCGCCGCGGATGCCATCGAGCAGCTCGAGGCCGAAGTGGAGCGGCACAACGGCCGCGCCAAGACTTTCGAGGCGGAACGAGCCGCCATCGAGGCCGATATGCAGCGGCGGGCCGGGCCGCCAGCGTCGGCCGCGCCAGCCGGCCCGGCGGGCCAGCCGCCGGCGCTGTTGCCGGTGGGCGCCATCGCGGCCAACACCGCCGGCTGACTGCCGGACGCGCCGCGCCGCCCCGCGCAGGCGCGGCCGCCGCGCGCGCCGGCCGGCGCGCTATCCGCGCGGCCGCCGCGGGGCGCGTCGCTGCCGCCGCGGCGAGCGATCGACGAGGGAGAGCACCTGCACCTGTGGTGCGCGGCCGGGCTGCGCTGCGTCACACGGCGCCGCGGCTGCCGACGCGTCGCGGCGCGCAGCGCTCGCCGCTCGCGGACAAGCGTAGCGGGCGCGAGAGTGGTGTGCGCGGGCGCGGGTGTGTGCGTCGGGAGTACACAGAGCGCGCGCGCGGCTGTGTGTGTGTGGAGAGCGCGAGCGACGCCGCTCGACGCCGGGCGGTGGCAGGGCGTGTCGCGGCACCTGCGCGCGGAGCAGCGCGTGTAGCTTGTCGGCGAGGTCGTACTATCATGAGCTCTAGCTCAGGTAGCCTAACAGCGGCAGCGGGAGCGCGTGAGGCAGTGATGTGCCCGATATGACGCTTGAACGAGGGCGTCGAGCGCCAGGTCACCTCGGCGCCGAGCGGGCGCGCGTGTCGCCTCCGCGCCCGATTCGCCGAGCGTGCCACCTCGGACTAGACCCAGATCCCGAGGCGCGGCGCCCGAGGGCATCAGGCTGGCCGCCGGGAGGCGGCGGCGCCCGCATCTCAAATCGCCTTGAGCCGCCCCATTCAGGGCATCAATCCCCTGAGAGTACTTGCCCCCGAAGGCAAGTGCGTCTGTTCACAGCTCACGAGAGTAAATTTCTATTCACTGCTCCAACTGCCTTGCTTTATTTTAAGGCGATTCGAACGCGGCACTTGCCACAGGCGCCGCATACACACGCTCTACCGGGGGGCGGGGACTGCGATCACATGGCGTTGGCCGGGACACGGGAAGGAGGGAGGGGAGCGCAAGGGGAGGGGTGTCGCACAAACTAAGTAGCGTGGAGACATGGGGCACAGGCACGGGGCACCCAACGCGGAAAGGCACACAAGAGCCCTTGTGCGCCAGCTCTTACGAGGCGTACGAGCAGGCGCACGAGGATAGCCAAAGTGGTCGATCGACCAGTGCGTCAATCAAGCACATCGCTGCAGCAGGAGGAGGGGACCGACCTGCTGCTCTGCGCTTGAACAGCGCACGTGGCGCCGGACCCACCATGGTCCGCCATCAGGGCTGCGCGAGGGCACCCGCCACCCGCTCCTGCAGGCGCGCGTTGCGCGCGGCAAAGTCAGTCTTGCCGACGTTGTCCTGCACGCGCGCGGCAAACGCGGTCGCGGACTCCTTGGCCGCCTCCCCGAGCGCCGCCGCCGCGTCGCTGGTGGCTTCGCCGAGGTCCGACGCGTCGACGGCCGGAAGTACCGACGGCGCCGCAGCCGCGGTGGTGGCTGCGGCGGTGGCGATGCGCGCGACGCCCGCGGCGGTGCGAGACGCGCGCGCGTCGTAGTCGGCGGAGAGGGAGGCCAGGTTTCGCTCCCCCGCCGCCGCCAGCGCCTCTTTTGCGGCGGCCGCCTTGCCCGCGACGTCCACATCGGGCGCGTCGATGTCTGGAGCCTTGACCGAGGCGGCGGTGCGGCCGGCTGCGTCCTGCGCCAGCTCGGCCGACCGCGCCGCGACCGCCGCGGCCTTGGCGGCCGCAGCCTGTGCAGAAGAGGCTGTCGTCTCGGCCAGCTGCGCCGTCGCCTCCCTTGCCGCCTCTGGCGCGGACGCAAGGCTTTCGGTCGCCTCGGCGGCCTTGGCGGCGGCCTTGCTCAACCTCGCGGGCGTGTAGGCCGCGTCGCTGCGAAGCTCGTCGAAGGAACGGCCGAGGTTGCCGCGCACTGTCGACGAGGTCGCCGCCGACGTCTCTGCGACGCCGGCGGAGAGCTTCGCCGTCGCCTCGGCCGTTCGCGCCGCCTTGGCCTCGTAGTCGGTGGAGAGGGAAGCAAGGTTCCGCTCGGCCGCCGCCGCCAGCGCCTCCTTTGCGGCGGTCGCCTTGGCCGCGACGTCGACAGGGCGCGCCGCACCCGTGATGGAGCCAGCGTCGACCTTTGGCATGTACTGCGCCGCAGACGAGCTGAGCGCCTCCTTGGTCTGCTGCTGAAGAGCCGCCGCGTCCATCTCCTTCAGCGCCGCCGCCGTCGATTGGATGTCACCGAGCCGCTCTTGAAAGCGCGCGTTACGCTCCTGGAAGTCGCCCTTCTGGATATTGCTCTGAATGCGTGCGGCAAACGACGAGGCCACGCCTAATGTTGATCTGGATGTGTGCCAAGCACAGCCGCAAACCTAGGCCGCAAAGTGAAGCCGCACCGGAAACGTCCGGCGCAGCAAGATCGAGCGCGGTGGCCGGACCCGAGGTCGAGATTGTCACGATGGCGGCAGCCACGAGCGCAGCAGCTGTGTGGTGTGCAGAAGGAGCGAGAGGCAGCCGCATATACAACATCCGTTCGACGCCTCCTTCTTCTTCAATGGGATGGCCGCGGCTCTCCCCCTCCCCGGCGCCGCTGCGCCCGCTGGCGGGCACCCCCCTGCGATTGTCTTGGCTACGTCAAGACATCTAGCGCCGGCTGCTACAACATCGGGACGCCCCCTGGCAACGCTAGATTCTTTCTGCGTGTGGACGGACCGGTGTGCGCTGCGCCGACGCCATCGCCGTCGCCATCGTTCTCCCCACCCCAGCCGCCGATGGCTGCCGAGGCTACCTACATCGAGGGTCACAATGACATGCGTATGCTGCACTGTGACACGCCAAACGTCGTCTACAGCAGTACCCTCGCGGCTGCAGCGCAGGAGTACGCCGACAGCTGCCCCTCGGCCATTCACCGCAGGCCGACCGCCCCAACGCTGGTGAGAACCTCTACTGGGCAGGAAGCACGGCGCCAGGCCGCTTCCGCGCGGACACGAGCTATAGCAACGCGGTGATGCGGCTGCGCCGAGCTCGCGCGGCGAAAGGGGCGCGCCATGCAGCGAGTGGACTTGGTAGGCAGAGTCCGCCCTAGCTCCAGCAGCACGGGGAACTTCGCGTGCAACGAAGACATCTTGCGCTGTCCATCGCGCTTGCGAACTCTTCCGGTGGCCAACTTGCTGGGCCGAGGTACTCTGCCCTGCCGCAGGTGCCTCGGAACGAACACGCGGGCGAAGAGTCGCGGCAACAGCGGATGTCCCAAAAACGGCGAGTAGCAGTCGTTTAAAGTCAGGAGACAACAGCAGCGGTCGGGGAGGATGGGCGTCGTTGCTTGTTGTTCTTTAGGTTGTTCTTCGACAAGAAGAACGATCATATGGTGAGCAGTCGTCACACGAAGGGGTGGGAAGGTGGCGTTGTTTAATCCGTGTTCTATTTTGGGGCGGCGGCGGCGGCGGTGTCCGCACATCGCCGCAGTGTGTGTGTGCTACTATTATGGTGCAACGGCGACGGGCGGCGGCGGAGCAGCCGAGGAGGGCGGCGGCGGAGCAGCCGAGGAGGGCGGCGGCGGAGCAGCCGAGGAGGGCGGCGGTGGAACAGCCGACGGCGGGGGGGCGGCCGCCTCGCTCTCCGTGCCTGACCAGATCAGATCGCGGTCGTGGCCGCAGCCTGACCGGCGTGCGCAATTCCCCTGCAGCTCCGCCCGAGTACACAGGCGTGCGCCCGCGTCCTCGCAGATGGTCGAGGCCTGTGCAAAGTTCTTGTTGTGGTGGCACTTGCCTCCCATCTCATCGTCGTCGGACTCGCTCCACACGGAGCACCCATCTTTCTTCTTCCAGCCGTCGATTCGCGAGTCGGAGCAACACCGCACCTCGTGCTTCTCGGACGGAGCCGCCCACCGGTCGCTCTCGTCGCACCGGCCAGTCCTGCCACACGCCACGTAACGTGGCGAGCCCGCAGGCGGCGCAGGTGGCGGCGGCGTCGCTGCCGGCGAGCAGCACTCGTCGACGAGCGGCGCTTGCCACGGGAGTTCGAAGACCTTGCGGAAGGTGCGTCCTTCGTCGCCTGAGAAGTACAACGCGTAGTGGCTGGCGGCGAAGAGGGCGTGGTCGTTTGCGAAGTTCGGAGAGAAGGCGAGTTTGCCGTTGAAGCCTCTGATGGGAAGTTGCTGGATGCTAGACCCCGCGCGCCAGAATTTCGGCGGGAGTTCCGCGTTGGCGTCGTCCCTGGCGAAGGGCGTCGGGATGGAGTGGACTTTGTTGATGAAATTGTACTCGGCGTCCAACTCGCCGCAGACGAGGCCGCCCTCGACGTACGACGCGCAGAGGAGACCGGTCGGCGAAACGTGGAGTCCGTCCAAGCCGAATTTCAGTTTGCGTTGACTCACTTGCTGGCGGCCGACGCGGCGGAATTCGGAGCCATCATACGCAAAAAGCTCGCCGTCCATGCCCTTGCCGGAAGTTTGGAGGGCGACGACTATCGGGTCTCCGTTGGCATCCCTCGCGAAGGCGACGTTCGGCCAAAATCTCACGTCTGAAATCTGCGACCAGCTGAGGCCGCTGTCGGTGCTTTGGTAGATCCGCACGCGCTGTTCGTCGTTGATGTCCCTCACTAGCGTGACTATTGTGGAGTCTTGTTGAAAACTGGGCGAGAGTTTCACATCGACGACGTCGCCGCCGTTGCCTTCCCAAATCCGAGCCCAAGTGAAGCCCCCATCGATCGATTCCAAAACGCCGTGGTTGAAGCCGCAGCCGTAGATGTGCGTGTCAGAGGCGTACTCTATTTTCTGGAGCGACTCGGAATTAAAGCCTCTGTTCGGGTCGATGAGAGGTAAATCCGGTAACGTCTCGTAGTTGTCTTCCGTAAACAAGTCGCCGTCGACTCGCTGAAGCGCCCGGACGCCCTGCTGCGCTCTGGGGACATATCTTAAAGCAAACTCCCCGCTCGGCGACTGCGCGACGGTGTTGTAGGATTCCTGGTTCTTTCGGAGCTGCAAGCGGGTCGCAGTTTGGGACGTCGTGTACGACGGGATTTTCTCTAGGAACGCCATCGACGACCCATCATGTAACTCTGTCACATTCAAATCACCGTGCCAGCAGCCGGCGGCATACGTGCAAATCGTCACCTGAACGTCGGCGACGGCCCAGATGCTGTAAATCGATTGCCGCACGGTGTCTAAGTAAGAGAAGTCGCGCATGTTGTCCGTCTTCCACACGCCAGCGTACGCTCCTAAGTATGCGGTCTGCCTTGTGGGATCCGCCACTACGTGCGTGAATTCTTCCAAATCGAACGTCTCCGCCGGCTGGACGTCGCCGAGGTTGCTCTCGAAGTCGCCGTTGTCGATGCTTTCGACGATCCAAGTCGCGCCGAAATCTGAAGTGACTAACACCGACCTGACGTTCCTCCGAAGAACGTATAAAGTTGTTGTCTCAACGCCATTCGGAGAGTGCGCCGCGACCGACAAGGGAGTGGTCGGTTTGGAGTCGTCGACTTTGGCCTCGGCTTCGGGCAACTTGACGGCGGTCAGAGACCCGTCTGAATTGCCGACGCGAGTCACGAGGTCTTCTTGGTCACCAATGACGTATAAATACCCGTTAAAATCCGCCGAAATCCTCGTGACAAAACCCTCTGAAACGGTCGCGAGCGGCTCCCAGCCCCAGCTCCACCTTGAGCGCCACATCTCTCCGGTAGAAGGCGACCCGACGTAGAAGCCTTCGTTGTCAGCTCCAAGCGCGAAGCACTCCTCTTTAGTAGAAGGCGGCATGTTCATGAGTTCGTACGGCCCACCCACCCTGCCGCGGCGGAGCTGGAAGTTGGAGTCCTGGGCGATGGAAATGCGACCCCCAGGCCTCTGCGCCACGAAATCGCGCGGCCCGCCGCCCCGATCACAAAGTCGGAACTGATCAAACCAATGGGCCCCGCCGTCTTCCGACCGCAAAAATCGACCGCCTTCAGAAAGGTACACCGTCGAGTCTTGGTTGTACCCCGGCGACATCACCGCGGTCGTTTGGCCTCCGACCGTCCTGATCCACTCCCAACTGTGACCGCCATCGGAGGACCTCAAAAGTTCGTCTCGTGAGCGAACAATCACCGTATCTCCCACAAAACTCAACGCCTCGACAACATCGTGCGGCGAATGGGCATCAACAACCACCTGCGCAGCGCGACAGACGAAAGCGGCAAGCACAAACCTGAACGACATCATCACCCGGCAAACACCTAATTATTAGTTAATGAAGGCTATTCACACCTCGGTCCTTCACAGGTAATATGTCCGTATATAATTACCAGTCGTGTGGAGTAATCTCGAGCTCGGGTAACCTCAGGCTTGGATAATCTTGGGCAATCCCGAGTGATCTCGGGTCGTCTCGGGTCGTCTCGGGTCATCTTGGGTCATCTCGGGTCATCTCGGGTCGTTTCAGGTAACCTCCGGTAATCCCGGGTGATCTCGGATCGTCTCGGGTAATCTACAGTAATCTCGGGTGATCTAGGGGGTCATCTCGGGTCATCTCGGGTCATCTCGGATCGTTTCGGGTAATCTCCTGTAATCTCGGGTGATCTCGGGTCGCCTCAGGTCGTCTCGGGTAATCTCCGTTAATCTCGGGTGATCTCGGGTCGTGTCGGGTAATCTCGGGTAATCTCGGGTCATGTCGGACGATTGCCCGCCCGGGCGCCTGACCACGCGCCTGCCCGCCGCTGCGCCCCTCTACGTACCACATACTTCTGACGTATTCGGGATTCCCCCACCTCCCACACACCACACCGACCTCCCCGCGCCCCCACACGCCGGCCCCGCGCGCCCACGCCACCACCATCGCCCACGTCGCCCTCCCCGACCCCCACCCCGCGCCCCAGGCTCTTCACAGCTCCGCTCGGGGCGTCCTGGCGCCGCCGCCCCAACCGCTGCGGCCCACGCGGCCGCCGGGCGGCGCGACGGCGGCTACCGGCCGGCATAGCCCTTCCAGCGCCGGCCGGGGGCTGCGGCGGCGCGCGGCGCGCGGCGGGCAAGCTGCCTGCTGGAGGGCGGCGCTTCTAGTCGTGATTTTAGGGCCGCGTAGGTCGCCCTTCGGCCACTTCTCGGGCGCGCGGCCGCGGAGCGCGAAAGGGGGGCGCGCTGCGGCTCGCTGGCGGAGGTGAAGCCCCCCAGAGCGGGAGCTGGCGGGCCGGGGGCGTCGGTCGGGTGCGCGGCGGCACCCGTGCCACCGGGACGGGCCGAGGTGGCCCGCGGGGCAGACGTGAAGGGCCGTTTGGTGCGCCCCGGCGGCCTCCTGCACGGCGGCCGCCGGGGCCGGTTTGGACTGTGTTTGGGGGGGTGGAGGGGTCCGATGGCCGGTGTTATGGTCGTTTATCACCCTCCTATCACCCACTTACCGCCCCCGGCCGTGGGGGCCTCTCCAGACGCCGCCATTCATGATTTAAAGGGTCCTGCCGACGCTCATCTGCAGTGCGGCGGCGGAGCCTGCCGGAAAAAATCCGGGGTTTAGCTGGCATATCTCGGGCCCACTTTAGAGCTAGGGCATGATCTTAGGTGTTCTGGATAGCCCACAAGGGTCTTCTGTGGCATGGTAGCGGTGGTTTTGCGCGAGGCGTTCATTCAAAAATCACCATTTCCCCCACTACTCCGTCTCAGCCGAGGACGAGAGGCAGGGGGGGCGCGCGCGAGCCGCCCGCGGCGCGGCGCATCCCTCCTAATTTTATGGCACTGTGACCCATACCCCGCCGCAGCCACGCCACGCGGGCCGGCTTCAACATGCTCCGATCACAAGGGCCACTAAACCCCCGGCCAGCCGTACAGAGCCCCCGATACCTTACTGCCCCGGCGCCAAGGCCTCGACCTTCTTGGGCAGCAGCTGGTTTGACAGGTCCTCTCCGTGGCCTAGGTAGCCGCCGTCGCCCTGGCCCCAGGCAAGGAGGGCGCCACCGGCGGTGAGGGCGAGGCTGTGCGCGTCTCCAGCCGACACAGCGACAACGCGCTGCCCAGCGAAGGCCTCGACCTTCTTGGGCAGCAACTGGCTCTGCTCGTCGCCGTGGCCCAGCCGGCCATAGGCTCCACCGCCCCAGCTCCAGACGGCGCCGTCGGCGGCAAGGGCGAGACCATGGTACAGACCAGCCGACACAGCTATGACGCGCTGGCCAGCCAAGGCCTCCACCTTCTTCGGCAGCAGCTGGTGCTGCTCGTCGCCGTGGCCCAGCTTGCCAAAACTTCCACCGCCCGAGCTCCAGACGGCGCCGCCGGCGGTGAGGGCGAGGCTGTAGCTATGTCCAGCCGACACAGCGACGACGCGCCGCCCAGCGAAGGCCTCGACCTTCTTCGGCAGCAGCTGGTCCTGCTCGTCGCCGTGGCCCAACTTGCCAGAGTCTCCATAGCCCCAGCTCCAGACGGCGCCGTCGGCGGTGATGGCGAGGCTATGGAAGCATCCCGCCGACACAGCAACGACGCGCTGGCCAGCCAAGGCCTCGACCTTCTTGGGCAGCAGCTGGTTTTGCTCGTCGCCGTGGCCCAGCTGGCCACAGTATCCCTGGCCCCAGCTCCAGACGGCGCCCTCGGCGGTGAGGACGAGGCTGTGGTGGCCTCCAGCAGACACGGCGATGACGCTCTGGCCCGCCAAGGCCTCGACCTTCTTTGGCAGCGGCTGGTTCTGCTCGTCGCCGTGGCCCAACTTGCCAAAGTCTCCGTCGCCCCAGCTCCAGACGGCCCCGTTGGCGGTGATGGCGAAGCTGTGCCCATCTCCAGCTGCCACGCTCACGGCGCGCTCTCCCAGCGGGGAGGGGAGGCGGGTCGGCGTGTTGAGCCGCGTCACGCCCTCGCCGTGGCCGAGCAGCCCTGGATAGTAGGATGGGGTTGAGCCGCACGACGAGAGCCGCCCCTCGCCGTCAATGAAGAGGCTGTGCCGCTCGCCTGCCGCCGCCCTCGCCGGCGGGTTGGACTCGCACAGCAGCGCCGAATAGCACACCCACCTCACGGCGCAGCCCTCGCCCTCTGGCTGCGCCGGCAGCTCGTAGCCGCGCTCTTGCGCCCTCAAGCGGATGCCCTCCACCGCAAGCGAGGCGTGAAAGAGCAGCGAGACGGCCGCGACGCGAGCGATGTCAACGGGGCCGTCGCAGCGAGAAACGACGCGCACGAGGAGGTCAGTGGGGAGGTCGAGGAGGCGGGTGGGCGGCGGCGTGCTTGGCGAGGGAGCGGCGGTGGCGGCGGGGGCGAGGCGGCGCGAGCGGCGCGAGCGGCGCGGAGGGGTGGACATCGCGAGAAAAAGAATCTGCGGGGAGATATGATTCGGTTGACTGATTTCTTCTGACCACGGGACTTGGTACTGGCACTAACACAGATAACCAGAAACAGAATTTTCAGCAACCCTTTAGCCTTTTCCTGGCTCACAAGCTAAAAAAATGTCCCCCCCCCCCCCCCCTCCCCCTCCCCGCCATGATCAATAAACACCGAATGATGCGCAAGACACCCATGAATGGACACACAAATTCTCGACAAGCGTCTCTCGCCGCGCTGAACGTAGCCTCCAACTGCCAGCTTCCAGGGGCGGAGCCGTGTCGTCGCCTTGCCTTCGCGGCGAGGCGTGCAGTCCACGGCTCCCTGCCACTACCTGGTGCGCGCTACACGCTCAAATCCACGGCCTCTGCCGCGGCGCCACGCCTGAGCCTCAGCCGGGTGGCCTTGAGCAAGTCCACGCCGGCCAGCGGCCGCTCGTCCGCCTCGTCCGCCGGCGCCGCCGCCGCCAGCATCGCCGACGACGGCGCCTCTGCCACCACCTGACACACCACGGCCCTCACCGCCGCTGCGCGCGACACCGGCCGCAGCCGCCGGCTGAGCTGCGCCAGGTTCGTCTCCGCGCCAACCTCGAGCGTCAGCCTCGACGGCGCGGTGCGTGCGCGCCGGCGGCCCTGCGCGGCCGGCTCGCTCTCGGCCTCCTCGCCCCGTTGCGGCGTCGGGGCGCCAGCCGCTGCCGGACGGGCGATCTCGTCTTTGACGACCTCTTGTGCCACCGCGACGTGCGTCGTCGGCGGCGGCGTTGGCGTCGGCGTCGTCGTCGTCGTCGTCGTCGGCGGCGGCGGCGCCACCGTGCCGTCAGCGTGCCTCGCCCGATGCTCTTCGAGAGCCTCTGCAAAGCCCGCCGCTCCGCGGACGGTCTGGAGGAGCTCCCAGACGGGCTTCCCGCCTGCAGGCTGCCCCACCCACCGAACGAGGACCTCATGCCACGCCGAGTCGCTCCCTCGCTCGTCGAGCACCACGTCGACTCGCGCCTTGGCCCACGCCTTTCGCCGCCGCTCCATGAGCGGCGCCGGAGGCACGTACGGCGCGCGGCGCGAGGAGGTCTGCGTCAGAGGCAGTACGGCCGCCATGTCGCCTCCGTCGTTGACCGCGGCGGCAGTCACAGTCGGCGTCTTTGAGGGAGCGACACCGACGGCGGGCTCCGGCGGCGAAGCCCCAGGTGACGCGGACGCCGGCAGCCTCGAGTTTGCCTCGTCCTCGTCGGCGCAGTCGACGGCCACGATGGACGGGGTCGAGCCCTTGCACTCTCCGATCCGCAGCGGTGGTGGCTTAGGCTCTTGCCTCGCCCTCGCCAGGCACGACCAGCAGGTAGCTCGCGAGGGCTGCGACCCAGCGCGAGGCACGGCGCCGTACTTGTTCATGAGGGCCTTGATCAAGTCCCGCTGAGGCAGTGCAGCCAGCACCTTCTCGGCGTGCGCTTGGGTTGCCTTTGACGGGTCGCGCTGCTGATAGAAGGCCACGAGTGAGTCGGCTGTCAAGGGCTGATCCTGAGACAGCAGCCGCGCCTCGTCGCGCTTCGAGAGCACCCAGCGAGAGTGTGGCTTGGCGGCAGTCGGCGGCATTGTCGAGCGGCAACAAGGCGCGTACAGGGTGTCCGTCCAAAGCAGAGCACCACGTCGAGGGTTGCTGTTCGTTTCTTTTTTCAGGAAAAAAGAAATCGGCAACGTGCGTTTTTAACCTTCTACTCTGTCTAGATCCAACATGCAACAAGGCATCAGATTGAGCGGCATTTGCCTCGAGCGTCCCTTTTTGAGCAGGGAAGCTGTTTCTTTTGGGTCCTGTGGCACCCTTTTTTGTGTGTGTGGCACCCTACGCACGCTAAATATCCGCTTCTAGGACGAGCTCAGACAAAGGGCGCATCAATTACCCGAGATGTTGGAGTGTTTCAATAGGAGCGAGGCCTCTTCCGTTGGGGGACCGAGTGACTAGAGAATCGGCCACCAGATCGCGCCCTCTCCGCTTCTGGCGCGCACTGGCAAAAGAAAACAGAGAGCCGAAGCGCGAAGGGAGGGAATGAGGACGGCGGCACGCCGTCAGCACGCCATTCAGAGTTCTTCGTCGACTGCTGTGCCTTTTGTGGTGCCAGTCCGTGCCAGTCTGCGGTGAGAGGGATTGCTGGTCAAGGAGCACTTGGAGCACTTGGAGTGCAGTCGGCAACCTCACAGGTGCTACCGAGTTTTTCTTGTTGGCAGCTTGTTGGGCCATGGCGCCGCTCGTGCGGACGCCACCGGCTTCCGAGCGCCTGGTGCTGATCCCAGCCAGTTCCAAGAGGAACACGACTGGCTACAAGAACGTGAGCTACAGCCGCAGCAGAAAGAAGTTCCAGGTGCAGGTGCGGGATGGCGACAAGCATGTCCGCCTCGGCTACTTCGACACCGCCGAAGAGGCGGCCATCGCCTACGCTCGCTCGGAGTACGGCCGCGCCGACGCCGCCAAGCTGCTGCAGCCCCGCGCTACTACCACTGCCGCTGGCGCTGCGGCGATACTGCAGGCGGCGAGGGAGGGCCTGACGCTGGCTACGAGCAGCAGCAACAGCGGCTACAAAGGCGTGACCTTCTGCCCGAAGGAGCGAGTCAGCAAGAAGTACAAGCTGCAGGTATGGACTTGCGGCAAGCTGGTCTTCCTCGGCTGGTTCGCCACCGCCGAGCAGGCGGCGCTCTTCTACGCCCGCAGGGAGGCGGGCAGGGACACAAGCGATCTCACCGCGCCGCCGCCGCCGCCGCCGCCGCCCGTGCCTTCCTCTGCTGCTGGCGCCGAGGCAGTCCGGCAGGCGGAGAGGGAGGGCCTGACTCTGGCTACGAGCAGCAGCAGCAACAGCGGCTACAGGGGCGTGATCTTCTACCCGAAGCAGCGAAGCAGCAAGAAGTACCGGCTGCACATGAGGGTTGGCGGCAAGCACCTCCACCTCGGCTGCTTCGCCACCGCCGAGGAGGCGGCGCTGGCGCGTGCGCGGCACCTGTGGGACACGACCATCCGCCTGCTCGAGCAGCCGCCGCAGCACTCACCGCCGCAAGGCGCAGCAGGGCCTTCTGAGGCCAGCAGCTACGAAGAGGAGGACGGCTTCGACCCGGCGGACACTGCCGACGCCGTAGCTCTCTCACTGCTCTCCGACCCGCCGCCTTCCGCGAGCGAGCAGAGGGCGGCGAGGTGGCAGGCGCGCGCAGCAGAGCAGGCGGCGAGGTCAGAGGCTACGGCTGCGGCAGCGGCGGCGGCGGCGGCGCAGGCGGCGGCGTGTGCTGCCCCGCCATTGGACGACGAGGCGGAGGTGGAGGCGGAGCAGGGGAGCGATAGCGGGGAGGAGATGGAGGTGGAGGCGGCTGCTGCAGTTGCGGGCGTGTCCGCGGCTGCAGCAGCAGAGGAGGAGGCCCTCCAGTGCGCTATTTGCTTCGACGACCTCAGCTCACACCCCGAGGCGCGCCTGCAGCCTCGCGACCCGAACGGCTGGGGCGCCACGCACTGCTGCAAGAGCCTCTTCCACTACCGCTGCCTGCACACTTGGCTCAACGACGACAGCGAGGTCGAGACGAGCCGCGGGTTGGAGCCGATCAACACGGCCTGCCCTGGCTGCCGAGGCTTCGTGGCGAAGTCGAAGTCGCGGATGCTGGCCTAGGCGCTGCCTAGGCGTCCGAGCACGAGACGTGAGATCATTTTGAACAACCTCGAAACGTGTGCAGACGGTGACACTACTCAGACGGCGGCTTCGAGCAGCACAGAAATTTGTGGCTCGTTCGCGGCTCCGTTTTCTTTTTGTGGGGTTTCCTTTTTCTCCTACTCTCTTTTCGCGTCCGTCGAAATTCTTTTTACCCGAAAATTCTTTTATCCACAGCCGGCTTAATTTCTTTTGAGCTAGACTTCGTTGTTAACAAGCAGCGAAGGCACACACAACATGACGTCAAACACACAATTGCACGCACCGCACCGCACCCAGCACCCGCGCCCGCCCCCCCGGCCCCCGCCCCGCCTAGGTGGGAAAGAGACGAGGAGATGGAACAGCCCGAAGGAGGAGGAACAAACACGTATGGGAGGGTTCAGTAATGCGCCACGCTGCCCGGCGTTTCTCACTTTCCGGGACAGCCCCGCCCTTTCGAGGCAGGAAAGTGACGGCTACCCCGTACGCCCTGTCAGCCTGCTACCCCTTCGCCGACCGCCCATCCCCCCTCCCCTTCCCCAACCCCGACGAGCCGATGACCAAGCCTCTGCCAGCGCGCCCCCGAGCCCCTCCCCCCCCCACCCCCCCCCACCCCCACCCCACCACCACCACCACACACACACACACACCGCCGCCGCGCAGCGCCGCGCGGCGGCACACCCAGCTCAAAAGCAAAAGAAAAAAGGGAATGAGGAGACCAGCGGGGGAGACTCCCCGCCTATGCAAGCCCCAGAGAGGGGCCGCCATCGCCGAAGCTGTGCCAAAGCATAACTCCAAAACCCGCAGCGGCCCAGGGGGCCTTGGGGGCAGCCTGCCGGACCGCCGCTCGAGGGGTGTCGAGGGGTGTCGAGGGGTGTCGAGTTGGTCGAGTTGGCATGGGGTGTCGAGGTGTCGAGTTGGTGTCGAGTTGGTGTCGAGGTTTGGTGTCGAGGTGTCGAGGCCAGGGATCAGGAAAACAGACACGCCAAACGAGGGATGGGACGAGGAGGACAGGGTCCCCACCTGCACGAGCAGGATTTTGGAAGAACGATCAGGGGGACAGGTGGGGCTCTCCTGCTCCTGACAAGGGACACGACAGACTCGCAGCGCGGTGCGCGGTGGACTCCCGCATCCACTGGCGGTAGTCTCATCTCAGTCTAGCGACCTGCCTCCAGCTTGTCGCTGGCAGTCTCTCCTACCACAGGCACACTGACACAGGGGTGGCAGGGGCGGCGGCACGAGTCTCCCACATACTATGCGGGCCTCACTAGAGGTTTTGACACAGGGGGAGGTGGCTGGGAGCTGTAGGACGCCACCGCCGGCGTACTGCTCGAGGAAGGCGCGTGCCTCGCTCTCGCCGCTGAAGGCGACGCAGATGGCGCGCGACGTGCCGATGATGGGCACGCTGATCGCGCTTGCCTGCTGCGCCTCGCCGCCTGGTGTCTTCTTGATCAATTGGCGCACCTCGGTGACGAGCGCCGTCTTGTTCTGGATGTCCGGGATGTGCGAGCCGTCGCGCGCCGCGAGCGCGACGTGCAGCAGGCGCTTCGTGCCGCGGTCGGTGCCGGCGGCCGCCGCAGCGGCCATCTGTGCAGCGTCCACCATAATGGTGTCGCCTTCTTTGGCGTCGTCGTCGTTGACGCGCGCGCTCGCGAGCTCGCCGTCGAGGCGGCGCTTCACGCCGAGTCTCTGGCCATCATCGGCCTCTTGCGCGCCGTCGCGGCCGCGCGCCGCGCCCTCGGCAGCGGCAGCGTTGAGCACCGGCGGCGGCAGGCCGGCCGAAGCGAACGCCATTCAAGTGAAGCGCCGTTCAAGAGCAAGGCACACTGGGGAGCCGGAAAATTGCCTTTTTTTCTGGAGAGAGAAGCTCAGCGAATCCAACACACCGAGGTTCCTCTGTGATTCTCCGCCTCCGCCTCGACCTCCGCGACTTACCACACTCCCCGTTCCCACCGCAGAAACAATGGTCGCCAAGACTGCCACGCTCGCTCTCGCTCTCTTCGGCGGCGCCGAGGCGCTCACCATCGGCGCGGCGCCGATGCGCTCGATCTCGCGCTCGTGCAACATCGAGATGGCCAAGAAGTCGGTGGGCGACCTGTCCGAGGCTGACCTGAAGGGCAAGAAGGTGCTCGTCCGCTGCGATCTCAACGTCCCGCTCGACGGCAAGACCATCACCGACGACACCCGCATCCGCGCGTCGGTGCCGACCGTCAAGTACCTCGTCGAGAAGGGCGCAAAGGTGCTGCTCTCGTCGCACCTGGGCCGGCCCAAGTCGGGCCCGGAGGACAAGTTCTCGCTCGGCCCCGTCGCGCCGCGCCTCTCTGAGCTGCTCGGCAAGGACGTCGTCATGGCCCCCGACTGCATCGGCGACGGCGTCAAGGCGCCCCGCGCAGCGCCGCCCCGCACCCAGCCCTTCCTCTCCCGCCGCGACCTCCACCCACCGCCTCCTGTGACACGACAACCCAGGGGCCCGGGGCCGCCCTTGCCGCCGCCACGGAGCCCTCCACCCCCTTTGGGGGTGCGGCCCTTCCCGCCTCCCACTTTCCACCGCCGCCCGCCCGGGCAAACCTGCTCCACGCCCGCTCCTCCATCTTTCCATTTTTGCCCCCCCCTGAGCCCCCTCCCTTCCCAACCCCATTTGTTCCTGGGTTTGCTTGCCCCCTGCCCCCCCCCCCCCCCCTCCCCCCCCTCCCCTCCCCTTCCCCTCCCCTCCATCCGCCTCGGTCCGCCGCGCGTGCTCTGCTCCCCCGTGAGCGGCCGCAGCTGACGAGGGGCGACACCGCCACCGCGGCGCCGCAGGAGTGCGTCGACAAGATGGGCGACGGCGACGTCCTCCTGCTCGAGAACACACGCTTCTACAAGGAGGAGGAGAAGAATGTGCCCGAGTTCGCCGAGAAGCTCGCCGCCAACGCCGACCTGTTTGTCAACGACGCGTTTGGCACGGCGCACCGCGCGCACGGCTCGACGGAGGGCGTGACGAAGTACCTCTCGCCCTCGGTGGCCGGCTTCCTGCTGCAGAAGGAGCGCTTCCCCGCACCTCCCCGCACCTCCCCGCACCTCCCCATACCTCCCCATTCCTCCCCACACCTCCCCACGCCTCCCCACGCCTCCCCACACCTCCCCACACCTCCCCACACCTCCCCACACCTCCCCACACCTTGCGCGCACCTCTCCCCCAAACTCCCCACATGACCTGGCCGACCGACGGCGGCGCCTCTCGGCGGAAGCGCCCCTCTCGGAACCTTCTCGGAACCTTCCCGGAACCTCCCCCGTCCAGGAGCTCGACTACCTGGACGGCGCCGTCTCGGAGCCAAAGCGGCCCTTCGCCGCCATCGTCGGTGGCTCAAAGGTGTCGGCCAAGACGAGTCTCGGGGACTCTTTGGTACAATCTCGCGTAATCTCGCGTCGGTGGCTGGAAGGTGTCGTCAAAGATTGGCGTCATCGAGTCGCTGATGGAGAAGGTTGACAAGATCGTCATCGGCGGCGGCATGGTCTTCACCTTCCTCAAGGCGCGGGATGCGGGGAGATGCGGGGAGATGCGGGGAGATGCTTGGAGGTGCGGGGAGATGCGGGGAGATGCGGGGAGATGCGGGGAGATGCG